AATCAAAGCAATAGAGAAGGAAAAAAGAGAGAGTGCAGGGTCAAGTGCATGTAAACAACTTAAAGAAGAAAAAAAATAAGCAAAGCGAAGTTTAGTCTTACTTCACTAAACGGTTTGGTGATGTTTGTCTCGAGCTGCCAGTCCATGGTCCTCCAGACCTTCAGGCTATGGTCATCTGCCTGAGAGGCGATGTACTTTCCAACGGGGTCCCACGTCAGGCCTTTCACCAGCCCAGTGTGTCCCTTTAAAGTCATCACAATCTCTGTGGCATACACATACAAAAGCAAATTCAAAAAGTGCAGTCTTTGATGCTTTGATTCAGAACCGAATGTATTGATACAGAAGCCAACATTTTCTAGATGTTATTAGAGTGGCCATAACAGTATTTAGGCACTTAAGCCACACTTAAAGGGTTAGTTGACCCAAACATTCTTTCATCAATTACTCACCTTCATTTTGTTCCTTATCTATTAGACTTTCATTCATTTTCAAAACAGATTTCTGTCCCTCCATTGAAATCTATTCCCCCAAACACTTCACTTCAAGAACGTTCATGAAGAGATTATAAAATAAATCCATATGTAGAGACATGATCACTTATATGATGAACAGATTTAATTTAGGCTTTTATTCACATGTAAACAAACATTGATCATCATACATAGAGCACTCAAATTTGGTAAACAGAAACGTGTTTGCCTGACATGCGAGAACCAATGAAGTTTATTCTTGCATGTCAGGCCAGCGCATTTGAGCTTCTGCAAGAACCAATGTTATTTCTGCACGTCAAGCTTAAAGGGTTTGACGGACAGGTCGTCAAGCAAGTTGAGCTTCTTTTTACTATATTTAAGTGCTCCATGTATCTAAATGAAATCTGTTCATCATATAAAGCGATTGATCGTGTCTCTTTAGAAGACTTATATTAAACTGCTTGATTCATATGAATTTATTTTACAAACTCTTTATGAACGTTTAGAAGCGTCAGCGATTTGGATATATAGACTTTCTGTGGAGGGACAGAAATCTCTCAGATTTAATTAAAAATATCTTCATTTGTGTTTCGAAGATGAATAAAAGTCTTGTGGGCTTGAAACGACATGCGAGTGCATAATTGATGACAGAATTTTTATTTTTGGGTAAACTAACCCTTTAATGTCATTGCATTAGAAACGTATCAAACCAAGCGGCATCTGCAAACAAATGACACTCGACTTTTTCTTAGATCTAAATTCACTTTTCACCTGGAAATTTTCGAGCGTTCCATATAACGATGGTATTATCCACACTGCAGGACGCGAGCCAGACATCATGAGGTGACCAGGCAACATCCATTACATCTGAATCAGATTTAGAGAAAACACCACATGTGCTTCACACAATGGCAAAACAATATCCAGCAATAACATGGACAGCGTTTTTCTCCTCACCTCCCGTGTGGCTCCTCAGAATCATGACGCACCTCCACTGTTCCACATTAGCCAGTTTACTGCTGGATCCAAACACCGTGCTTGGACCTATGAAACTGTTCAACAAAAGAAATAACACAAAATGCCTCAAAGGTCTGTGCGGGGATGCATTTGTGGCATCTGTTTGTGTTTTATAATCGAAGAAAGACAACAATCTGCACTCAAAAGTAGGGAAATAAACAGTGCGTTTGCGCTAGTACGGCATCTTGATCATTCTGTCTACTGGAATACATATAAAAATGAGATTTTTAGCATCACATACTTATTTTTTTTACACTTTCAAATTCAAATACATTTTAAATATTATTATAATATTTCTAAAAGTTAAAATAAAAAATGTTTAAAATGTTGGAACTTATTAAACTAAATGTTTTACTAATTATATTTTTTAAAGGTGCAGTAAGCGACTTCTGAGAAACGCTATTGAATGTGGATTGGACTGAGCACCACAACACACTTGTAGCCAATCAGCAGTAGGGGGCGTGTCCACTCATGATGGGAGCGGAGAGAGAGTGAGCAAGAGAGAGATTTGAAGAGAGATTTGAAGAAAGACTGTAGAGAGAGAGATGGCTGAGAGACAATGCAAGAGAGAAAAGGTCAGAGGAATATCACAGGGAAAAAAAAGGGTTATGATCAGGTAAGAGCTTTAGGACCTGCGTTAATATTAGAAAAGCGTTCCAGCGGTCGAGAGACCTTAGCGGGAAGGCCTGAAACAGACTCTGAGTTTTAGCGTAGTTTCTGCTCCATATGTGAGTAACACTGTTTTTGCAATGTTGCACAGAACTAAGATATACTGTTGTTGTAATGTTAGCTATAGTAACAGGACAGTTTTGAGTGTCACTGTTCGTCTTAGAGCTGATGTGCTGCTGGCGACTAACAATTGCATTTTGGGGTGGAGCAATGAAGGGAGGGATGCGTTTCAAATATCAAGTGTTTTTTTTTAGAAATCGCTTACTGCACCTTTAATTGTTATATAATTGTGATCAATGTGAAGTGTTTTAAAGTTGGGAAAAAAAGTCAGTTTTACTCACGCCGCTCTCTTCCACACCATGACCAGTTTGTCGTCTCCTCCTGACGCCAGGTATAAGCCATTATTAGACCAGCGCACGCAATTCACACATGCTGAAATGCACAAAGTTACATAAAACATTTGATTAGATACAGAATATTCATCAGTCTCACACATTCTGCCTCACATTCTGTCAGTGCAGTTCATATCCACAGGAGTTTACAATACATTTAAGTGACAAGATATAATTTAGACAGTCTCTGAATTTTTCTTTTGAATGTTGTAAGCAAAATATGTGGTCTAAATGCAGCATAATTAAGGATCAAGAGAACAACAATCCACAAATGTTCTTTATTAACCGGTACTTCATATATTTTAAATAGTTAAAATAGAGATAAACAGGTATCCTAAGTGATTATACCTAAGTGATTGTCCATCTGACAAAGCAATTTGGGAATATTTTCGTTCTTCTCGTCCTCTTCTCGAAGAACCGGGGCCATATTCCAGATGACCACTTTCCCAGAGTCCTCACCTGTCAGTGAACAAAGAAAATATTAGTTCCTGATGACAAACTACTAAATTAGGTCTGAAATTAAACTACCTTTTACAACAACAAAAAAAGAGATTCAACTGAAAGCTATACTATAGTTAGCCAAACGATAACAGGAAAATATATCTTAGTGGGTTCTATTTTTTTTACCTTGGCCACCTGTAGCAAACTTGGTTCCATCTGGATGGATATCAACTGAGAATATTGGTTTACCTGAAAACAAAAACACTCTTAAAACACAAATGTAGTTTGAAAATACTTGTCTAACATGGTCAAAGAGTCCAAAAATATTCAATGATAGAACAACAAATGCACTGTATACAATACTTGCAGTTCGAAGAAGGTTAAAATACAAATATGGCCACATTAGCATATAACAGATACAAACAATGTCACATGCTTGATTTAATCTGTTAATTGTGACTAGATCGTCTCTTAAATTACATAAATAAATGATTCGTAATGTTAACAGTGCAATAACAGCCATCAGCTCCAGCTTGATGGACCCATGTCATAGGTCTACCTGCCTGTCTTTTGCAACTTCAAAATGGGTGGTGTGCAACTGTGCACATGATATATTCATGGGTGGCTTCTTAAAAACCAGCCAAGCTATAAAAAACAAACAAAAAACAGCCGATAAATATGATTCTTATTGCGCTAAAATGGGCAGGAAAGAATCCGAGCGCAATCACAGCACTGGAGAAGAGACCCGATCCGTCTCTACATAACAAAAGCTCAAGTTGAAGCCCCGGATTCTTGCACAAACACACACAGTCGGGCTGCTGCTCTCACCATTGTGATTGACCCAACTCGGCTTCAGGAGCTTCATCTTCACGCTGATCAAGTATAAAACCGCCGTTTGAAACCCGCGATCTCCTTCTGTGCTTCCGAGGAGACTCGTTTCCAGCGTCCACCCTCCCGCCCGGCTGTTTAAGTGCTGCGGCTCATCCGTTACTTTGTTGCTCAGTTAAACTCCATGTCTGTCTCTCTCCCTCTCTCCCTCTCTCTCTCTCATCACTCTGAGCGTGAAGCTGCAGCAACTGAAGTCACGCCGGAAGTTCGCCGTCTTCATCGAAGTTCCCTTGGAAACAAAGAATCAACGTGTTTGTTCCTTATTTACATTCATTCATTTAGCAGAAGCCGTCATTAAAAAAAGATTTACAAAGGAGGACAAACACAAGCGTCTAAATGAGCTAATAACAGCAGTAACACATTATATAAGTATCCCTCAGTAACAGAGAGAGAAAATAGAAATAGAATAGAAATAGTACATTTGTGTTCAAAAGGGATTTTACGTCACAAAATTGTATAATTGGTGACTATATTTAAATTTGTATTGACTTTTTTATTAGACCCCAATTATCTATCTATCTATCTATCTATCTATCTATCTATCTATCTATCTATCTATCTATCTATCTATCTATCTATCTATCTATCTATCTATCTATCTATCTATCTATCTATATTATCCCCATTGTTACATTTTGACATGTTTCTGCAGTTCACAGTTCATAGCACAGTTTATTAAATATTGCGTAAAAAAAAACTACTTTATGTTTCTAGACAAAAATTTTGGACAGTAAAATGTAATGTAATTTCAAATACGCAAGTGCGTAACAGCAACAGTAAAGATTAGGCTTCTTTAATGATCAAAGAAACCACCAAAATGTAACTATTATGAGTGGAAATTATCATATAGCCCATGATAAAGCACAAAATACATATTTTTTGAAAACGACTTTACAATTTACCACTGGGTGGCGAGCACACATCTTTTCATAACGGCTGAGGCGAAGATATGAACCACAGAAATCGAATACAAAGAATGCGGTTACAAATCATGGGAATACGAGGTAGGCGGAGCTTTATGCGTCATGATCATGGTCATGATAAATGATTGGACCACACAGCGCCCCTCGCGAACTTAATACATTTACCACCAACAGATACCGTTCTAGCTAGTTTCTCTTTCACAAGGGCAGGCAGGAAAAAGGGAACCGTAGAAGAAGAACTCCACTCAAATTGTTTACATCAGGAGGAGGTGACAGAACGGAGCCTGTCCTGTCAGTATGGCTCTAACTTTCAGTCTATGACTTACTATGACATATAACATCAACTGACAGGGAGCCATGGGCGCATTCGCTTGTCTTTCTGTGCTGTGCTCGTTGTGGCTTTGTCCGCTAGTTTCCAGCGAACAGGTAGCATTTGTAGAGGTGTTTCTGGAAGAGCATCAGGATGTTTTTCAGGGTGAGGTGGTCAAGGGGACTCTGGAGAACGATCCCATGGAAAACCACAGCAAAAAGAAACATGAGCTTAAAGGAGACCTCATATTAGTGAGTTATCAGTGCTTGATATTGGAAATTATTTTCACTATTCTTTCTGAATGTGTTTCTTGCCATGGCTGTGTAACACTTTTCTCATGTGTTGTTGGGTCAGCACTGTGATATAAAAATGATATGTCAAATATTATATTAGATATTACAAAAAAAATGGCAATATAGCATCAAGTTCTATAAATTACATAATTGAGAAAATAGAATTTTGTTTAATTGAGAAAATACAAAACTGTTTTGTATTTGGCTAAACTGCTAAAATTGCATACAATACAATTTAATTTAATTTCACTGTTTTGAATGTGGGTTTCTTGCTTTCTGTCTTTAAAATAGAACATGCATTATTTATTGAATTTGCAATTTAACACTTTTCTCTCCTGCTGTGTCAGGTCAGCACATTGATATATTAATACGTATAATAATAATACATAAATTAAGCATACCAATATAACCAATATGGTGTCAGTATATCCTTAAAGTGTTAAAGAAAAAACCTTTAAAATGACAAATAGAAAACATTTTTTATATAATCTGAATATGTAAGTTTTATTAATATTATGTTAAATATTGACAATATTAGCATTCATTTCTATGAATAAATAAATTGGGAAAATATAAGCACAACTGCTTTAAATTATATATAATTTCCTTACTATGTACTTATTATAGTAATTATAATTACTGGGTAATAACTAGGTACTAACCCTGAACCTACCCCTAAACCTACCCCTAACCCATGTACTTACCTTATATTAGCCAGTACTCTCTAGGTAAGTACACTGTAAGTACACGTATGTACTGTACTGTAAAAGGAAGCGTTACCGAACATTCTAGTGATCATCATCTTCGATTGATTTTTTTTATTAAAGTGTAGATGTTGTTTGTTTGTTTTAAACTAATGATAAGTAAAGATTGTGGGACATGCTTTGTCCATTGTCTGAAACATCAGTGACATGCTTCCTTTTGTCTATGCAGATAAAAGATGAAGCTCTTGAAAGCAACGGTGAAAGCAGTGATGGGAAGGATCAGAACCCGTGGATTGGAGTGGTTCCTGTCCAGATGGAGGAAGGCACAGTTTCCAGCAACAGCAACCAGGAGTCATTTGCTGCCTCTGTGGTCAATAAGGTATTCAAAACTGTCATTGTGAGGACTGAAGCATGATGACAAGGTGATCAAACTGATCAAACTGACAGCTCTCTCCTCTATAGATGAAGCGTGCTCTTGTTTTTGGTGCGTCTGCTTTGATCATACTGGCTTTAAACCAGAATACCGTCAGAGAGGTGAGGGCTTTGCTGTTCTGTTCCATAAACTTTTATTTTATGGGATAATGGTTATTAAATAAGTATGAAAAAAAAAAACTGTTCTTCTACAGATGGATCTCTCTCAGGTCCTCTCAAAGCCAATCATTGTCATTCAGACATCAGAAAATGTCACTAAGCTCATTGGAGCACTCCTCAGGTAATCTTCAGTCATTCAATTATCTGTATTCTTCGGAATAAACAATATACTGGATTTAGAAATGTCTTTTTTTGTTATTATTTTTAATTAGGGGCCTTCATGCAACAGCCAAAATCACTTATAAGACTTTTCTACAGGATAGCCTGGTAAGATTTGACTGATAATAAGCTCCCGTGCAGCATAGTTTCATGCTTGTTATGGTTATTATTAGTGTAGGCGTGTGATATTTCTATATGCGGTGTCAAAGGGGGCCACCTTGACCCTGTGGTCCAGCTGTGGCCGTTCAAGAGGAGGGTTGTACGGGGAATGGCAGGGGGTCATCTGCACTGGAGAGACCAACTCTCAGGTCCAGGTATGAGCGTTATGAAGACAACTCATATCATCCAGGGTACTGTCATAGCTTTACAGCTAGAGCTGCATAATTAATCGTTAAAAGATCGTGATTTTAATTCATACACCCATGCAATCTTATTCCTAAATTACAACGATTCTGCTACATCTATCTTTGACAAGTAAGATCACAGCAAGCATTCAAATCTGCTTTAGTGCTGCTGCTGACCCAGAGAGAGCAGTTGTCATGTATAGGTTCGAAACAGCTTCAAAAATTATAATTTCAAAATTATCACAGAAGTACTGGGATAAAAGTTTATAGTTCGGATAAATTACCCTTTGAAAGTAACTTGACGCGTCAAATAAAGATTGTATTAATTACTCTGTTACGCCAATAAAGGGCAAGAAATGATTGTCAAAAATGTATTTGTCATTGATTCAAATCAATTAAACATTTTTAAATAGACTGCTGCAAGTAACATTATGTCAGAACCTCTAGTAAATTACATGCTATTTTGTTTAGTTCTATTTTGAATCGTGATTTCTATTTTAAACAACAGCAAAAAAAATTGTGATTCTCAATTTATCCAATCGTGCAGCTCTACTTACAGCTCAAAAGGTTTCAGCACTGTCATGTATATACTCATCTAATGTTTCTCAATATTAAATGTCACCTTTATTGATCAGCAAGGAGCAATTCTCTTCTTTTATCTTTCTTTTTGTCCATCTGCCCAGAAATATCTCCAGCAGCTTTGGAACACTGTCGTTCTGGTGGCCCTTGTCCTCTCCACAGGGGTCATAGTTCAAGCACGCTGGCAGTACCAGGACAACCAGTTTAATGATGATTTAGAGGTAAACGCTGTTTTTGTGACAGATTCATTCTGAAATTAGAAAGATTTTGATTTAAAACCTAAATGCTTGGTTTCACAGACAACGCTTAAGCCTAGTCCTAGACTAAAATGCATGTTTGAGCTGTCTTAACTGAAAGTAACTTGCACTGACTCTAATAATGGTTTTTAAGCCATGTTTATAAAAGCTACTTAAATGTCTTAATTGAAGGCCTAAGCCTGGCTTAATCTAAGCCTTGTCCGAGCCTAATGTTACTAACTGTTAAGATGAAGCAGTGTTACAATAGATTTCGAAAAAAAACCCGGTCCATTTATCAAAGAACCCTGACATTTTTTTATTATCGTTTCCACAAAATATGATTAGCACCACAATTGTTTTCAACATTGATAATAATAAGAAATGTTTCTTGAGCACCAAATCAGCATATTAGAATGATTTAGATGATTCAGGTTTGCCATCACACTTACATAAAATATTAAAATGATATTAAGTTATTTTAAATTGTAATAATATTTCAATCAAATGAATGCAGCCTTGGTGAGCATAAGAGATTTCTTTTGAAATCATTAAAAAAAATCTTACCAAAATCAACCCCAAACTTTTGAACAGTAGTCTATACACTGTATATAGGTTATAATAATAATAAACTATACTGTTTGTCTTACAGTCAAACATGAAGCAAGACATTTTAAAGAGATTATCTGCAATGAAGACGAGGACATACCGGCAGCCCAAAGTGAGGTGTGACCAAACACAAACTCAGCCGGTGGAGACGGACAGTTGTGCAGTTTGTCTGGAGCAATACAACAACAACCAGGTGACAGATATTCTACATTCATTCTTATGCTTTTGCTCGGTAGAGTTATTATTCCTTTATAAAGAGAGACAGTCTATCAGAAATTTGATCACTGCTCTAATTGGGTGTGTTTTAGTGTTTGAGGGTGTTACCATGCCTCCATGAGTTCCACAGAGATTGTGTGGATCCCTGGCTACTCCTCCAGCAGACATGCCCTCTCTGCAAGCGTAGCGTTTTTGGTGAGAAAAACAATTACTTGCTCATCTATTTATATCTATTTTTGCTCCATGCAAACTGTGTTTGATCTGAATCTGAACTCTTCCTGTTCTCATTCTCTTACTCCCAGGTAATTTTTATTGAACTGGACCAGGATGGATTCTGGACTAGGAAATAGTGGAATTGGATTGACTCTTCTGATTCAGGCTTTTCATGGCAACTAAATCCCTCCTCTGTACTGTAAGGTCAGGATTCCTCCATGGTAATGATCTTTGACCTTTCCAAAGACTATATACCTTGAGTTCTTTCAAGAGACCCCAAGAGTCAGGACTAGTTCCTGATCTTTGGTCGGACTACTTGAGAAGTTCCTTGAAGGTAGGTTCTTGTACACGGGATCAGTTCTTTTGCGCACAGTTGAGTACTCAAGTTACATTTGTTGAACCGACTCAGCAGTTTACAGATACACAGATTGTGAAGTCATGTGCACAGCAAAAGACAAAAGTAATGATTCAGATCTCTTCAAATTGAGGAATCATATGACATGATACCAGGGATGGTCCTGTTCCACCCATAAAAAAAGATGCAGTTCTTGCATTTCTGAATATGGTCCTAAACTAGATGTTGTGGTCTTGGCCTTTTGAGACCATGTAAAATGTTTCTGTTAAGCAGAGATATAATGCAGGTTGGAGGCCCATACATTACATGCAGAAAAAAAAAGATATTGCGGCCACATTTTATTCATTCCTTTTCATGTTTTAGTTAAATTGTGGCCATGATTTAAACTAAAATGAGGGAATAAATCTGTATAACGTGGCTACGATTTACAACATTTCATTATTTGCCTAATAATTACCTAAACCAAGGGGGAAAAAATTGTTGTGGGAATGAATACTTAATACATGGCCATGAAATCTTGTTTTTTTCCCCAATGCATGTCAAGTATGGGGCTCCATAATGTAGTACCATTGTAGTGCCATTGTTTGGCTTTGACGGCTAAACCCCCAGCTCCAGCTCCAGCTCCAGCTCCAGCACCAGCACCAATTCAGTGGAAATGGGGCATGTTAATCAATTCTGTTACTCTAAACTACCCAGTAAAATGAAAGATACATGAAAGGAGTATCTGTATTCCATACAAAGAGCTGCAAGGATGCCCTGTGCCTTCTTGCGGCACAGAGCGACTTTCACTATTTTAGTCTCCCTTTTAAAGATGATTTATAAGGGACTATTAAGTACATTTACATGCATTTTAGAAGTTCCGTTTTAGAGTTTCAAATTGTCTTTTTAAATGTTATGTAAATACTTTAGTCTGACTGAAATGCCAGTCAGGTTTTTGCTAGACTAACAAACCTACATTACCTTTCAAAAGGTTTTTTTGTTGTTGTTGAAAGAAATCAATACTTTTATTCAGCAAAGATGCATTATATTGATCAAAAGTGACAGTAAAACATTTATAATGTTCCAAAAGATAAATCTTTTCAACTTTCAATTCATCAGAGAATCCTTAAAAAAAAAGAATGTTTTCTGAAAAATATTTAGCAGCAAAACTGGTTTCAACATTGATTTCTGAAGGATCATGCGACACAGATGACTAAAGTAATTCTTGCCATTATAGGAATAAATATATATATATATATATATGTGTGTGTGTATATATATATATATATATATATATATATAAATCTTTTATATTAAAATATAAATCTTTTTTTCAATATTGTAATAATTTTTTTTACAATATCATGGTTTTGTATTTTTGATCAAATAAATTCAGCCTTGGTAAATAAAATAAACTTCTTTCAAAAACATTAAAACAATCTTCTAATAAAAAGGCAATTATAGCTCAGCTTCATTCAGCATGTTTACATGTAAATCAGACTACAGTTGGCTCTGAAAGTTTGCGCATCCCTCGAAAGACGTGTACTTAATCCTTTTAATATTCGAGTATGCATTGTGTCACGTATACTTGGACAGACAGATGAATACTGTAGCTCGACTGTGCAAAAAACCCACTGTAGTTCAATTATATCTGCGCATGTAAATGTACTTAAAGATAGGACATAGGAATAAGGAATCTCAAGGCAGCCAATCATTCAATCACAATCTATACTTATGCCAAATCTGAGGAATTTTCCCCATCCCAGCTAATCACACTATCTCAGGAGGGCGTCTGCTAGACAGGTAAACAATTACCATAACATTAAAAAAACCACTTACACAAGAGGAACAACAAAGAGACAGTCTTAATAAGAACAGTATTTATTCATGTTTTATCTTCCTATGGTTTACGTTTTATTTCAAAAGCATTCTTAAATATGCTTTGCTTTCTGTTACAAAATGCTTTGAATTTATCTTAGCAAGTAGAAATATGCTGCTCTACATGGCAAGAGAACATTGCCTGTTCAAAGTCTATGTAAGAAAAAGGACATCACTCTTCCAGAATGACGAATGCTCACAGCCTTTGGCACAGTATGATTAATGAGTTGGAAATCGGACTTTGCAAGCCAGTCCGTACAACCTCAAGTGGGAAGGTTTCTCAAAGGACTGCTCTTATGTCAAGTCTTAATCGCTTTCTGAACCTTTAGAGAACTGGAACAGGATCTTTTGAGCTCCATTTTTGCTTTAATAGTGTAATGTACTGCGTCTTTTGTAGCAATTTATTTTAGATGCAACATTCTCGAACCTGATGTTCCTTTATTTATTTGTTGAATTTTACTTAACAGTGCAATAACTGTTTGTACCTCTCCTCTGTTCAATAAACTCGTGTGTTACAGGGCAAAAGAAATGGCTCCTTTGCCTTACAACACTCTGTTTTCTTGTCATAGTGTTGACTCTCACTATCAAAAACATAAAATATGACTATCTTGATCCCTTTACAGACACACATCCCTGCGCATTTTACTAAGCACTTCAAACTCCAAATCATCCTGTTTTTATATTGGTTTATACTTCAGAAAATACACTCATCAAGAACTAATTTTCAATCTGAAAGAAATAATAGGCCTATGTAATAGACCAGAGTGTCATCTCCATGTGCCTACAAGAGCTACAATTAACCTTAGGTACTTCATTCTGCTTTTTCAGTTCTCCAAGAACTGTGTAATGTTCTGTTCTTGATTCAAAAGTCTTAAGAAGGGATCATGCCCTTGTTCCTCTTCCTGTCAGCCATCGTTCTGCGACTGTGATTGGCTCCTCTGCTCTTGTTCGCCTCCTTTCTACGACGGTCCAAAACGGTCTCCTGCGCCTGTCCCCGTCCCCTTGGACCACCTACAACATGACTTGCCGGTGGCGGTCTGTAGCTATTAGGAAAAACCAAATAAAATAAAATCGAATTAATGACTGACTGATCCATGTTTTGTAGGTTAGTTAGATAATAACCATTACAAATGTGCAGTGTAACTATTGCTTTGACACACAGCTCATATCTCCGTCGCTGTAAGTTAGCAAAAGTAAAACAGTCCGTTGTCAAACTTACCCTTTCCTGCTTTGCATAGCAGCTCTCCTGGCCTCGGCTCTCTCTCTGAGGACTGCTGGGTCCTGGACGAAGTAATCCTTCTTCACAGCGTCATTCTGATCAAAATGAATATATAAATGTATATGTGCATTATGTGAGAGCCTGGAATTTTAATGTATGACTAATCAGTCTACTTCCTATTAACAGGAAAAGAGAAAAAAGAAAAAAGTCAAGTATCGAAAGCACCATATGATCTATCACTATCACACACATCAAAACACTTGTGTAAAGGAGAATTTAAAGACAATGAATATAAATTTATATTTAATGAGAGAAAGTGATTCATTCAAACCGTGTCCTCTTCTTCCCCCTCGTCTTCTTCCATCTGAGCCTTTTTGACTGTTCTTAGAACTTGTGGGATAGTAAACGGCCTAAAGGGTGAATACATAGATGTTAACTTAAATGTAAATGAAAAAATTCCAATATAAATTTGGGCTGCACAATTTGGGGGAAAAAAAATTCTGGTAACTATATAGGCCTATATATATATAGTGCAATATAAACTGTTTAAAAAAAATAAAGAAAAAAAGCTACAGGTTTGCTGAGTTGTTTGTAGGGCTGCACAATTTGGCCAACATGTTTTTGATTATATATCAATATGACTAATAATAACTATACTCAAGAGTTTTTGTGTTTGAAAACATTGAAGGGGGATGCATTCCTCTCAATATCTACAATGGTAAATGCAAGCAGGAAGGGGAAAAGAATTGTTATTTTGTACACTGGTCACAGCTCATACCTGCGGTTCAACAGTTCATCTTCTTCATCCAGATCATTTGCTCCTATTTGGTTGATATCATACGTGTCGTCATATTCGTCGTCATAATCATCCAAGCCGAAAGCATTATCACGGTCTCCAGAGGGCTCATTCGATATGGGAATCTCATCCACCACTGTCTGGTAGGCTTGATATCTCTCTCTCTGCTCTTCTATGTGCTGCTTATCATCGAGTGTGGCACGTACACTCTCCCCCTGTCTGAAATACGCAGAGATTTTAATTTCTAGCTGACACAAACCAGCTTTTACAGCTTGAGCTGAATATTTCATAAGTTCACTTTATGCCTACTCTGATGTCAGTTTACACTGTACTTGTCAAAGACTATTTTCTATTGACCAACTGGATTTTCATAAATATTCAGTGAATAGTTTGACTGAACAGGATTTTTAAAAAAAAATCACTGAGTAAGGTACTGCAGGGAAGAATGGGATAATGTTTCTTTAATTGGGAAGAACCGTTTCAGAATTTTAACATGGGCTCACAGAACCTACCTCCGGCCTTTCCATATGCGACTCATGTCCAATCGGTCACGGTTGAACACGTCAAACTCGTCATCGTTAAACACATTAGATCTCGTGCTCAAAACTAAGGGAAGCTCCTTCTTCACAGGCCTACAGGGCAACATTACAGAGCCAATAAGTAACAATGAAGTGGACCCGAGTTGAACGATAAATCCTTGGGTAACCCCTTACAATAATGTTACATTAGTTAACTACATTAGTCAACATGAACTGACAATGAAAAACACTTTTTATTGAGCTTAGTTAATCCTAATTTCAACATTTACTAATATTTACTAAACATTTATTACTAAAATCACAAGTTATCAATTATTTAATGGACCTAAGCTAATATGAATCAACAATGAACAGTTGTTTTTTTATTAGCTAATGTTAACAAAGATGAATTAATACTGCAACAAATGCATTGCTCATTGTTAGTTAATGGATTAACTAATGGGACCTTAGTGTAAGTGTTACCATTACTTTGTATGCAAAACACTTCAGTTGGACTTTACCTGGCCATTGCCCTGTCCAGTTTGTCAAGAGAAGGTGACAGTTTATCTTCCAGGATGTTGTTTATGGCAAGTTCCGAATTGTATCCGTACTCCTCCAAACATGCCAGTATGAATCCATCTCCCAAGTCTGGAAGCAGCTCTCGGATATGGGTCAGCAGAGACTCCAGTTCTCCAGCACTCAATGTGCAAACTGCCCCCTATGGGCCCCAGAAAAAAAAGATAGAAAAAATACTTTTTATTTCACCAGTGGGTGCTAAAAATGTATTTTCAACAATGTTGTAGAATTTTTTTTAGCAGCTAATGAACTCACGTTGTCACCCTTACGGGGAGTGTCAGTCATAGCTTCCGCTCCTCTCAACTCCTCTCTGACTCCCGCTCCTTCCTGCTGGGAAGCTTCTAAATCTCTGCCGGTCTTGTTCTTGGCTCCTGCACTGTGATTGGCTGATGAGATTGCAGAGGGGAAGCTTCTCTTTTTGCCCACAAACTCCCAGGCTGACTCTACACCCTGCAACAGGTAAGATGTCCTGGTGTCGTCTCTGAGTGGGAAGATCAAGGAGAATAGCAGAAAATCCAATAGCAAAGGAGTTTTAGGGAAAGTAGGGAAAGATGTATTATTCTGATTCTCTGTGACAGAAAAAAGTAAAGACAAGATTTTAAAGGCAAGTCAGGCAGAATGTGCTTTGTGGTTCTCTCTTTACTTGCACAACAGGCTAAACTAGAACTGAATTGATCTCTGACATTTAACAATCTGCTTCTGCTGCCAGGGTTTCTTTGCATGGCAACGTTAATGAAGTGAACATTGTATATACATGGTAAGTATTGGAGGAAATGAGACTAGCTATGGTATCAGTGCATCAATATATATCAAGGGTGTAGGAAAACAATTAGAAATTGGGACAGGTTATTTCTGGAATCATTGAGGTCGTCTTCTCTTAAAGGGATACTCCACTTTTTTTGGAAATAGGCTCATTTTACAACTCCCCCAGAGTTAAACTGTTGAGTTTTACCGTTTTTGAATCCATTCAGCCGATCTCCGGTTCTGGCGGTACCACTTTTAGCATAGCTTAGCATACATCATTGAAGTGGACAAGACCATTAGCAGTTCTCAAACAAAAATCACCAAAGAGTTTCGATATTTTTCCTATTTAAAACTTGACTCTTCTGTAGTTACATCGTGCACTAAGACCGACGGAAAATGTAAAGTTGCGATTTTCTAGGCTGATATGGCTAGGAACTATACTCTCATTCCTGCGTAATAATCAAGAAACTTCACTCCCGTACCATGAGAGCAGCAGGCGTAATGATATGACGCAGCGCCTGAAAATAGGCCACCTTCCGTCAACACATCGGAACTATTTTCAGGCGCTGCGTCATATCATTACGCCTGCTGCTCTCATGGTACGGCAGCTATGCTAAAAGTGGTACCGCCAGAACCGGAGATCGGCTGAATGTATTCAAAAACGGTAAAACTCAACAGTTTAACTCTGGGGGAGTTGTAAAATGAGCCTATTTCCAAAAAAAGTGGAGTATCCCTTTAAGCAAAAGCCTGAAAGATGCCAGAATGCTTCCCCTTTTGTTACTTTCAAAATCAGCATACAGTGTTCTATACAGTGACCATAGTAAAGGATACAAAAGAGGGAAGGCCTGCTGAAGGAGACTGATGTCATCCACTATAGGGAACTGTTCATCATAATCTGCCAGAAATCTGAGAGATAAGAGACAAACAGTGCAATGAGAATGCAATTGAATTTAGTTGTCGGCTGTGATAGCAATAGGGGGTGTAACAGTTCTCAGAAAGAAAATCGAACCGTACCATTCTCCACCCACTTGCACCGTGGTTAATCTCAAATCTGACGACGCATATATAATATGGTTTGTTGAAATTAACAACAAATAAAACAGACAGTTCAGTGAACAAACAGTCGAGTAAGACAATGCATGTGTACAGTATCAGTGTATTGGATCTGTGCACTGTCTTAACGTGACAGCAGCCTAATATCCCTGCTGTCTGTGTTTTAGTGTTAATCAACCAACAAAAGACAAAGAAATCACTCAGATTGATTGAATAGCTTTTGTAACTTTAATGAGGATTCATATTTAATTTATACAGTCAAATATGCAATGTTATTTTACATTTGATTACTTTGTTCAATTTCTGTACCTGAAAACTAGTTAAATCTACCAAATGAAACTAAAAAGCACTGTTTGTTGTATTTGTGTCTTTGCTCTATTGTATTTATTTGTGCTGTTGCTTGTAGTTGGATTATTTGCTCTTTTTTATTTATTTGACAGTAGTCATTTTTTCCCCCTACATAGCACATACCGAACCGTACCGAAACCGTGACCCTTAAACTGTGATACAAACCGAACCGTGAATAATTTGAACCGTTACACCCCTAAACCATACACTTGGTGAGAGACTTCTGCATAATTTACCTTTTCTCTTGAAGGAAAGCTGTGAAGTTCTGTAGGAGATCTTCTACAAAGGATGCCACGTTTTCAGAGCTGTGAAAATGATTGGCGTTTAGGATCAAGGATATTTGGTATTCATTCTTGTGTTTGCCTAATCTAATGAGGTTTTAAAGCATATATTTTTTCCCTCACCCCTCCAGAATGGGCTGTAAACATGAGTGTTGGAGCAGCAGGTGAGCAATCTCCACCATTTTCTTTCTGGAATGAGATACTTGTCTCCACATGTTCTCCTGTAAACTGAGACAGAATGCAACTTATTTAACGTATCTTTACAAATTCACAAAAGAGTAGTAGTAGTACAGATTTTAATGCCATGTCAGCAGCTGAGGCAAGAGCAGAGTTACAGTATAAGATACACAAGAGTTCACAAAAGAGTGTTTAGGTGTGTAAGAGAACACATCAGTCAAGTTTGCCATTCAAACCTTTTATTTAAATTCCTCTTCTTCACTGCCTTTTCCAGGTCTGGAACTACCATCTCATAGAATGACGATAATCTACATTGAGAGATTATTATTTTTGTATCAGTAATATCAGGAATGAATTTCTGCCTTTGAGGACACTGTATATAACTCTAATTATAGTTATATATAGTAGTACACTAATATATAGAGTCATTATGTGGATGTATTTGTGACACCTGTTAAGAAAGTTGTGTTGTTTGAAGGTAGAACAAGCCTCGGGGAAGATGTCCAGGAAAGAGTGAACAGTAGTGCAGGTATCACACATGTACAACACCAAGTCTACAAGCTCCTATGAGACATAAACATAATACATATTTAAATATAAGCATTTTATTTCTTTGAATTAAAGGTAGTCAGTATTTGTGAAAACGTTTAAGAAAGATGTGTTTTGGTTACCTCCTCTGACATGGTCATGGCAGTTAGACATCTGTTTGCATTCAGTTTGAGGGGTTGACCGGCTCCTGTGTCCTCTGACTGAATACCACACTTCTGTAATATTGAGTCAAATACCTAGAATATACATGCACACATTTTAGGAAGTTCAGCAAACCATGACAAATCAAAGCATTTAGAAATGTTTATTGTGTCACATGAGATACCTGGATGATTGAAGGTATAGTCTCATCTAGGTCTCCATAATAACTGGGCTGCTGAGTAAAAATGTTCTCTGGAAAAGGGGGAAATTGGGAAATTTTAGTTTTACATATTGAAACAAGTATGAGTGGTAAAAAAAAATCAGGTGAGTTCATGCATTTTTCTAATTACAAATATGTACTATAAGATTACAAGTACCGATCATTTTATGTACCAGTTGGGAATTTCCTTTCCCAAACAGCACACACAGATCCAGAATTTTGGGAATGTCAAATAAGTAGTTGTTGTAAATAATCTCTGCAAACACTGCAGGGGTAATGAAGTTCTCCTGAGGAGGAAAATAAAAAAAATATTTTCAATTTTGAATCCCACTGAATGCCAAATATATTGCCATCATATTAATTGAATGTAATTTAATACAAAACCACCAGCACACATTACAGTTCAGAAGTTTGGGGTCAGTAAGATGTTTTATTTTCATTGAAAGTAAAAGACTTTTATAATGTTACAAAAAAATAAATAAAATAAATGCTGTTCTTTTGAACTTTCTATTCAACAAAGAATCCATCAAAAAAATGTTTTACTGTTTCCACAAAAATATTAAGCAGCACAACCGATTTTACCATTTATAATAATAATAATAATAAGAAGAAACATTTCTTGAGAACCAAATCAGCATATTAGAATGATTTTTGAAGGATCATAATTATGATCCTGAAGACTGGAGTAATGATGCTGAAAATTCAGCTTTACCACCGCAGGAATGAATTGCACTTTAAAATATATAGTAGAAAACAATTTCACATTACAGTTTTATTTTTATGTATCTAGGACTTATTGCCTGTCCAAAACCACACAGTACAACGATTAAATTATATTGCACAACTAACTATATTATTTATGTAATAAAGCAGTTCATGTTCACCTTAGACTCTTTGTGCGTAGCCATCCTGAGGAAGACCATGAACACAGAGCGATGAACGTTCCTCTGCATGTCGGCTACAGCTGGACTGGACGAGATACCAGACGGGTCCAAACTGCGGGGAGCGTGCCTCAAATAAGAGTCCAAGCACCTCTGTAATGACTCATCAAATACCACCTAAAGTGAGAAAGAATAAAAAAGAAACACTATGACAGCTGCCTAGCTAAATAATGTAAGTATCCAAAAACAACAATATTATATTTTCTATTGGGTTGTACCAAAACCTTCATTACTAACATTTTGATTTGTACAACTTGTATTTTAGACATTCCAACCTGACACCAAAACTTGTCGTGGGGTAAAGCCAGCAGCCACTCCAGATCCTCTGAGATGAACTGAGCATGTTCCAGGAACTCCTCCACCAATGCAGGTGTGCCATCCTCAGGTGGGGGCTTAAAGGTTAAGAAACATCTCTCTTCTTTACGATCAGGGTGCTTGTGGGAGAGATGCAGATGGCATCATCATTCAAAGTGTTCATAGAAGAACTGGACCATAGTGGTGGAACAGCTCTACTCTTGTTAATTATGAAGGACATAAATGTAAAGTGAAATATTCACTCACTAATGCTGGTAAAGTGAGTTCTTTGCCTTGTGGTCCAAAGGGCTGAGTCACGTGCAGTTCATCTAAAGGCACTTTTGCACAGGCCATTTCACCTGCCCTGAAGAAAATAGCCAATGGATGTACCTCCTGATAAAACATACAGTACAAATACAAGAACTCGTTTACTTTATCTGAACTGTAAATGATTTGGCTTTAAATGGTGGTTTAAAAGATTATTAGTGCTGGTTTATGCACATAGGCCTTAATCATCTAGCCTAAGAATTTAGGGTTGTTATTGTTTTGATTGACTGGTTTACTGTCTATAGATGGTTGACAGGCTAATGTGTCAAAGATCCAACACCATAAACATATTTTGCCACTTTATAGATTGTCAAAAGAACAGTAACATTTCATTTTAGTTTTTGTCATTTTATTTTAGACATAGCTTTAACTATGAGATGACTGGCTGGCTATAGTATTAGCGAGCTGGCTAATGCTGCCGTGTTAGTGAGCTCGGTATCTTTACTAAAGACAACACGATCAAACAACAGCAGTTTTCATTAGCTACAAATTATTTTAGTAAAAGACAGACATTAATAAAACCGGCACACTTTTTGTTGACTGTGTGTTACTAGAAATGAGCCAGATAACCACAAATGAGAGCGAAACTAAGAAAAAAGTTAGATTACTTGCGTTTAAATAACAATTAGCTTCGTTCATATAAACAGCACAGTATGAAAATAATTTAAAAAAATTAAAACCAAGTGATAGAAATGTCACCTCTTGACTGAATCTTTCAACAGATGTTTTCCAGCTCCAGCTCAAGGCATCAGCGTGGATATCCGGTCTACTCTACTCGTGCTGAAGAGATTCCAAAATAAAAGTCTTTAAAAATAAAACCTGTTCTTGAAACGCCGTAGAGCGACGTCCATAGAACCTATATTTTCATGACAATTTTATTAATTCAAATCTAAATGTATTCCTATCTGTTAAATAATGTATGGTGTTGGCTAATATTAGTTAATGTTCTAAATTAAAGTTTTAGTTAAGTATAAATTAATATATTTGTAGTATAAATTAAGTCTCAGACTAAAATGCATGTTTGAGCTGTTTAAACTGAAAGTAACTTGCACTGACATTTCGTAAAATATGTCACTGCCATTGTTTTGTCTCAAGATGCAGACCAATAATGTTTTTTTTTGTTGTTGTTGTTGTTGTTTTTTTTTTTGTCTAAGGCATGTTTATAAAAGCTACTTAAATATCCTAATTGAACTAAGGCCTAATCCTGTCTTAATCTAAGCCCTGTTTGTTAAACTAGGCCATTGTGTTCCCAAAATAATCTAGCTCTTTATGGTCCCTGGGTTGACTAAGAGTCTGAATGGGGTCGGAACACAGACAGACAGATATAACAATAGATAATATATATATAATAGATAATAATGTTTTTTATTTATTCATTTTTCTTTTTTTACAATTCATGAATGTTTTTCCATTCATCCGTTTCTCAACAGATACCGTTCATTTACATTGCACTTAGGCCTACTTAACTGATGGATGAAATTAAGTTCAATCTTTGCTTGTCATTGAAGACAGCTTTTCCCCCAGTGTGTCTTACTAATTCATAACTTACAGTATTGAGCAGACTGGGTCTCTTTCTCGTCCCCATTTCTGCCTCGGTTTTTTTTCCACTTTAGTCATTTTATTGGCATGAAAGAGAACTACTATACATACTTCAGTTCAGACAATGAATACATTTGCTACACAGTTGAATGATGAAGAAAACTTTGAATATTAATTTATTTATTTTTTGACAGATATAAGGCTGCTCGAGCACTTTCTTATCAGTATGAAAGGTACATCGACAAAAAATATTGACATTGGTTTTCACTTTATAATACTTAAGTTAACATATCAAATAACTTTAGAAAAGGTTTTTAAAGATACATGCTAAAAATATTTGTTCAGTGGGCAGGTGACCTGAGCTGCAAGGCTTCCAGACTGTCACATATACAAATTATTTGAGTTATTTATTATTTTATATATTTAATTATTTAATGTGAATGTTGTTATTTGTCCAGTGTTTTGGCTGCACAATGATTATAGCTGTAGGCTAAAGTTACAAGAAGAGCAATGATTGTACACTATTAGCCTGGCGCTCTTAATATTTTTAGCTATTCGTGAAACGCTGAGCAGTGTCCATAAGCTGTTCACTGCATAAGTTTTATGGTACATATTGCGTTACGTTCATTTATTTATTTTCATTATGCAATGTGAACGTTTGTTGAATTTTTTGGCTGAACCATGATCAAATGCATAGTAATAGAAAGTAGTGACAACACTCATTGAATAAAAAATAATGAGAAAAGACAAGATAAAGATGTAAAAATCATAAGAAAACAGTAATAGTGTACAATCATATTGCTCTGCTTCTGTTAGTAACATTGTGACTTTTTGCAGCACCCAAGTAAGATACACATTCAAGACGGGCAAAAGGATCATTCTTCAAATCTGCCACCAGAGGTCAGACGGGAACCACAAACTCGATCACAATGAACACATTGAAAGTCCGTTTTTGCAGTGGGCACTGCTCTATATCCAAACTCAATATTTTAAAATGTAGGCTAACTGCCATATTTTGATGTTTCATTAAGATGATTTTAAACAACAAGGGCTTCATATGGATGATTTCCCTTTCGAACTGGCGTGTGTCAACTCCACCCAGTGTGTGATTTCTCCATCATTAGCAAAAGCCCAAGTCTCTGTCTACGCTGCTTATACAATCCTCAAGAACGACGCGTAAAGGCCCAACTGATGGAGCGCGCGTGTGTCGGTCGCCTCCTCTATTTGCGTAGCGGAGGCTCCACCTCAAGCATTGCAGTGACCTCAGCAGTGGGCTGAATTGAGCTGGGTGGGATTTTCAGGCTCGTATTCCCGATCGCGTATTCTAGGCACGATTTAACGGTGTATGTGACGGAGCGAATAAGCGTTTAGCCGGCTCGCGCTGAACGGTGCAGGATTTGTGTTTGTGTTTGCGTGCATCTGACGATAGGGATCAAATAAACGAGGAATGTGGGATTTACAGAATGCCCAACAGCGTTGGAAAAAGATTTAAACCCACCAAATACATCCCGGTGTCCACTGCCGCCACTCTTCTGGTGGGATCCACTACTTTATTCTTCGTTTTCACGTAAGTTTGCGAGGATTTTTTCCCACCCACGGGGTATTTCGTTGAACGCTGGTTCACTGGAATAAGTTTTATGACAGTTAAATGACCACAAGGCCTGTGTGGTTTGACTGTAGACCTAAAGTATTTCTCTGATTTCTTAATTTAGCATTTAGAAGTGTGCATTTTGGGGGGGTCTTAAAATGCTAGATGATATCGGTCATTTCTGTTGAGATTTCACATGTGAAATTAGTTCAGCAAAACAGTCTTGTCTTAAAATGTGTGCTATAAAATTGATACTAAGTTAGAGACTGAGCTGATCTGCTACATACTGCCTGTTTTAGTGGACATTTTTGTTCTTGTTCATTCATTGCAATGATTTCTAAATGTAGTGTAAGGGGGGTGTGCTTTCGTCGTGATAGGTTTTGACATCCACGTAGTCTCATTGTAACATCACGGAAAAATATGTTTGTAGATATTGCTATGCTTAAATGAGTGCATTGATCTTTGCTTCAAAAGCTTTCTCTTACAACGCAAGGCTAAAGTCATTACAAAAGATCAGCATAAAGTGATCTTTGTAAGTGTATTGATGGCCAGGAAGTTGCTTCATTGAATCATTCATCAAGCAGAGTGTGATAGAGCAGATTGTGACAGGCTTTGAGCAGTTGTTTGAAGAATCAACATTAGACTCAGATTACAGTTATTCTCATTCAGATTACAGTTCAGAGTACACCGTTTTAATTTGATCATCGTGCAGGCATATAATCATTTGCTTTTGGTGTATTTTGTAGAATAAGCATCCTGCAGATTAGACTGTCATCATTTATTTTATATCATGGTTTAGGTCAGTAGATCACTTAGCTTTTTTTTTTTACATTTTAAACACCTTTTTGTCTAAGCTATCTTATTTTGAATAGTACTGTGATGTGACAAGAAGGATTTTTTAAAAGTACAATGCAAAGGCAGACTGTGTATAAGTGTTTAGGGGTGAAGAGACACCAGGAAAGCCGTTGTTGCTACTAGTGTAAAACCACAAACCGAAACTCTCAGACTCTTCCATTCAGATAGGGACGCCCCAAATTTAGTAATAATTTTTATTCTCTACTGTTACTCTCTGCTATATTGTTATTTTTATTTATAATGCGATTTTATTTTTATTTATTATGCATCTGCTGTTATTCTTTTAAGATGATTTTAATTCATTTTTATGCAAAGCACTTTGAATTACTAGGCTATTGTGTTTGAAATGTGCTATATAAATAAGTTTGCCTTGCCCTGCTTTGCATAATAATCATAAAGGATTTAGCAAAACATTGTAGAAGGGACTGCAGGTCTGCAGGCCATCCCAGAAGTATTTCATGCCAACTACCCAGCTGAATTTGATTTTGGAGATGACTGTAGTCACTTGTAGGACTAGAATAATTCCACTATATGTGATGTCTAAAATAAGTTACATTTATATTTTACTGCTCAAATTGTCCCACCCTTAAACTTTTATAAAAACTATAAAGTTGTGTACTGGTTTTGGAGCATGAGGCCTGAGCAGATGGATGATCTCGTCCCGTTGCTCTTTGATACTCTGGATTAATATGCTGTTTTGGAAATTGGGTTAGACCTTTACATGCAAAATTCCATATGCAAATAATAGGAAACAGACTGGTAGCTAGCTATTGAGAAGGTAAAAGGTAGTGTCCACCCTCAGACCTCAAAACCTCAGTGTCATCTGGTATTTAAAACAGCACTCAGGTGCCGCATTAAAGCTAATGTCACCTAAGGCCACACTTGTTCACTGACTGCTCACTAGAGAACAGTTGATTGACCTTCAAGGCAACAAAGGCTGTGTGATGACTTTCTCTTGAATGTGAGAAGTAATGGGGGATCTGGGTGTTGTCGGCATGTACACACATCTTAACAAGGTTGTTCTCAGTTGGTTTTCCCATATGTCCTCACTACATCACTGCATTTATGTCGAGAGCAGTGGTGTGGAGTGAGGAGACTACGACGTAGACCTTGCGATCTTCCCAATTATCATTTATCCATTCGAGGTGTTCTTAAAGTGGCTTGACCACTTTCTGAGACATTTAGTCTTGCTTTATAATAATTTTCTTCTGGTGCATGTTTATTGATCTTTGGGGGGGGGAAATAGATTTTAAACTTTTTTTAATGGCTTCAATATAGCAGTTTCTCCTTCCAACCAATGAAAAGAAAGCATATCAGTGTGAGATGTCAGATAGTGACCCCCTTTTAATTTGTGTCTAACCTCTTTCCCTTATTCCCTTATGGGGGAAAGATTGGATTAGAAGCGGTCTGTGTGCAGATGTCCTGTGGTCTGTAGTATTTCTAAACATTATGGTGACATAATGGGCTATAGTTTAAATTTAAGGCCTTTAATGAAGGGCTCATCTCCATTTATATTAATCTTCGTTCCCTGCCGTGCTTTCTCGTTAATGGGCCTGTAATATTGTAATGCTCTTCTGTTAGATTTCATGATAAATACTTTCACCCTGTGTAAGTATGTGCACACACATACTTACACAAGACTCTTGTAAATTCAGTGTTATAATGTTTAGAAAATGTCAAATGTGAATGAGAGGAGGACTTCAGCTGTGATAACATACATAGACACTGCTTTTGTTTAGCAAGAGAACAATATTTGGCTGATGAATTGCTCATAATTCTGTTGATAATTAAACTGTCAGGTCGGAGACTCAAACAGAGGAGAACAGCGGCGATTATTAGTGTGCCATTCAGAACCTGCAGAGAGACGGAGTGATAAGCAAAACAGAAAGGGAATGACGAAGGTGGGTTTAGGAGTAGAGATGAAGATATTCTCCACAGTCACAGAGAAGGTTTGACACCAAATGTATCAGGGTTTTTTTTTTTTTTTTGGGACATGAAAGTCAGTAGTGTCTATTGTTTAGACCCTGACATTCTTCAGAATATGTTTTTTTATTCATTCATTCATTCCATTCACTACTCACTCACTCCATTCCACTCACTCACTCACTCCCTCATTCATTCATTCCACTCACTCAGTCAGTCACTCACTCACTCACTTACTCACTCGTTTCACTCACTCAGTCATTCCACTCACTCACTCATTCCACTCACCCACTCACTCACTCACTCACTCACTCACTCACTCACTCACTCACTCACTCACTCACTCACTCACTCACTCATTCCACTCACTCACTCACTCACTCACTCACTCACTCACTCACTCATTCCACTCACTCACTCACTCACTCACTCACTCACTCACTCACTCATTCCACTCACTCACTCACTCACTCACTCACTCACTCACTCACTCACTCACTCACTCACTCACTCACTCACTCACTCACTCATTCCACTCACTCACTCACTCACTCACTCACTCACTCACTCACTCATTCCACTCACTCACTCACTCACTCGCTCACTCATTCCACTCACTCACTCACTCACTCACTCACTCACTCACTCACTCATTCCACTCAATCACTCACTCACTCACTCACTCATTCCACTCACTCACTCACTCATTCCACGCACTCACTCACTCATTCCACTCACTCATTCCACTCACTCACTCATTCCACTCACTCACTTATTCCACTCACTCACTCACTCATTCCACTCACTCACTCATTCCACTCACTCACTTATTCCACTCACTCACTCACTCATTCCACTCACTCACTCCACTCACCCACTCACTCATTCCACTCACTCTCTCATTCCACTCACTCACTCATTCCACTCACTCACTCCACTCATTCAATCACTCACTCACTCATTCCACTCACTCACTCATTCCACTCACTCACTCACTCATTCCACTCACTCACTCATTCCACTCACTCACTCACTCACTCACTCACTCACTCATTCCACTCACTCACTCACTCACTCACTCATTCCACTCACTCACTCACTCACTCACTCACTCATTCCACTCACTCACTCACTCACTCACTTACTCATTCCACTCACTCACTCACTCACTCACTCATTCCACTCACTCACTCACTCACTCATTCCACTCACTCACTCACTCACTCACTCACTCACTCACTCATTCCACTCAATCACTCACTCACTCACTCACTCATTCCACTCACTCACTCACTCACTCACTCATTCCACGCACTCACTCACTCATTCCACTCACTCACTCACTCATTCCACTCACTCACTCATTCCACTCACTCACTTATTCCACTCACTCACTCACTCATTCCACTCACTCACTCATTCCACTCACTCACTTATTCCACTCACTCACTCACTCACTCATTCCACTCACTCACTCCACTCACCCACTCACTCATTCCACTCACTCTCTCATTCCACTCACTCACTCATTCCACTCACTCACTCCACTCATTCAATCACTCACTCACTCATTCCACTCACTCACTCATTCCACTCACTCACTCACTCACTCACTCACTCATTCCACTCACTCACTCATTCCACTCACTCACTCACTCACTCACTCACTCACTCACTCATTCCACTCATTCACTCATTCCATTCCACTCACTCACTCACTCATTTCACTTACTCTCACTCACACACTCACTCACTCACTCACTCACCCATTTCACTTACTCTCACTCACTCACTCACTCACACATTCCAATATCTTCTTTTTTTTGTTCTGCTAAATAAAGAACGGCTTGGGTGAGTAAATTGACAATTTAAATTTTTCATTGAAAGATTAGACATTGTTGCCTTTTTCCTTCTTGTCTCTCAGAAGGATTGCATTCAAATATAACTAAGAATCCATATCCCCAAATCCCCTAGAACTCTTTCATCATCACATCTTCTCTACTATCTACAGCATTATTCATATGAGTAGCTTGGTTATGTATAAGCGATTTTGATTTCAATCTAGGTCATTTTTGCTTTCAGTTGAACTGTGCTATGCTGCTGTCAGTGTGTATGAATATCCATGAGTCTGTTATAATGACTTATTAAAATCGGGAAGAGACTGGGACTGAGAAAGAATTCGGAAGTATAGCTCCTATAAT